CATCGCACAAAAGTACTCTAACGTTCAATTGCCGCAGTCCACATGGATCGGAAAAGTGAAGTCGTAATCAATTTGTCCTTGAAAGAGCAATTCAATGTGCCTTCCAATTTGATTTAATCAAAACTTTGTTTCGTTTGTCTCCCTTTCAATGTGCGTTGCTTTTATTTCTTTGTTTCGTCCCTTACAATTTTTATTTTTTTAATTTATTATTACGTATTCATAAGTATGTTATATAATTGAGTTAAAAAAAAAGGTTAATTAAGAAAATTGCATGGTATATTGAAAATTTGGTACTATTCTTTCTTAACAGACGACAAGAACAAGGAAGAAAACCAGAAATTACTAAATGGGAATTCTTCAACAACTACAATCTCAGTATGAATTATCACGCCCATGTGTTCTTCCTCCTCTCTTAGTCTCACTGATGGTACTGCTCTCCCTAGTGCCACTGAATACAAAGTATAGTAGGTGCACTATAGTACTTGACTATCACCAGGCCTGACATCTCTTTCTCTGTCAACAAGTTGGCTCAATTTATGCATCAACCAACTGATGTTCATTGGCAGGCCTTGAAGAGAGTTTTACGGTACTTAAAAGGTTCAGTTACTCATAGCTTCATGCTTAATATAGTGCCCTCATCAGAAAATTCCATGGTTGCCTACACTGATGCAGACTGGGCTGGCGACAAAGGAGATCGCAAATCCACCTCTGCTTTCCTCATCTACTATTGTGGGAATTTGATTTCTTGGAAAAGCTCCAAACAAAAAACAGTTGCTCGGTCCTCAACCGAAGCTGAATACCGTTCTATTGCTGGTGCTGCAGCTGAAATAGCATGGATTCAGAATCTTCTATCTGAACTGCACCTTCCACTTACCCAAGCTCCAACAATTTATTGTGACAACATTGGTGCTACCTACGTTTCTGCTAATCCTGCTTTGCACTCCAAAATGAAACACATTGCCATTGATTTCCATTTTGTATGTTATAAGGTTGCAAATGGTTGTCTCAGAGTTCTTCATGTGTCGACTCATGACCAGCTTGCCGATGCTCTCATGAAACCTCTGTCTCGACAAAAATTTACTCAGTTCATAGCCAAGATTGGTGTCACTAATAGAGACTCCATCTTGAGGGGGCGTGTTAAGGATCATTCAAAGTCAGACTCTCATTCCAAGTTAGTCAAGACAGTTCTCCATTCAAAGTTAGTCAAAACAGTTTCCCATTCAAAGTTAGTTCCCTAGAATTGATTCATTCAATGCTAGTTTGAATTCAATATTGTAATTACTTTACAACACAACTCTACTTGTATAAATATACTGATTGTAACACAACTATACTATGAATGAAAATCTCATTTCCCTCATTCATCAAAACTCTCATATCTCTATAGTACTTTGGTGAATGGGAAAGGAGGATGTCTGAATGTACAAGATAGTGTAATGGCTAAGGCTAGTGCAATAAGAGAAGGTTTGGAGTTAGCTAGAAATTCACTTTTGGAGAATATTATAGTGGAAACAGATGCTGAAATTGTATATAAGGATATTGTACAGTCAAGAAGGAATACCACATGGAGGATTAAGCCAATTATAGAAGACATCAGAGTACTATCAAAAGGTTTTAACCGTGTTAGATGGAGCTGTGTTAAAAGGAGTGCTAATCAAGCTGCAGATTGGGTAGCTGTTCATTGCAAGCAAGGGATGTGCTCTTCCAACTGGGTTAATGAACCCCCTATCCTCACTTCTGCATATCTTTGACAAAGACGGTGTTTCAGCTCCTCCGTGATCTTTTCTTTGTTTATATCACACTTTAGAGCTCTGTTTTGGTTGGACCGAAGAGAGTATCTTTATAGCATGTTTATTCTGGATGGTTTTTATTTTAATACTACAAGTAGACATGTTTTTTCGGCCAAAGAAAAAAAACAAGATTCAAATTCTTTACGTGCATTGATAATTGGTAATTAAATCTTAGCAGAAGCTGAAGATAGGTTGATGTTGGTATATGGTTGGGCTTTTAAACAAACTAGTATTCTGCCCGCGCTTCGCCGCGGTTTTTTTTTTGTAAGACTGCAATGTATTGTTTTAATTTTCTAGTGTTTTATGTTTTCATCTTTGTTTGAGTTTTTATTCAATTCCCGCTTTTGTTACTTGGAATTTAATTTAAATTTCATATAATTCATTAGTATTTTTTAAATATCAAATGAAACGACACAACATACATTGAAAACACTATGTAATATATATATATATATATATATCAAACATTTAAAAAACTAATTCTTCACTTAACAATCATTATCTCATATTATTTACATTAATCTTTAAATAAATAAGTTCAATCATAAAAAGAAATTAACAATAGTAAAGTACTAAATAGTATAAAATAGAAAAATATGAGGGTCATTTGATAAATAATCCAAATAAGAAAATGTTCGCTGATGTAGATCATGAAACATAAAAATTTTCTTTTGAGCCATTCATGAAACTCGTGCATAGATCAAATTTAGCTTTTAGCTCCTTCATCAAAGTCATAGATTATGCAATAATCTTTTAACCAACACTTGACTAACTTTCATCGGACATGTGGATCGAAAATTATATGGCATTAAATAGACCGTCAATTGAGATGACCAAATTTCGAAAGCATTTTTTAAAATTGAAACATCAAAATTGGCTTTGAGTCCTTCATGAAAGTTGAAAATCATGAAATTACCTTTTAATAGACAACTGAATCACCTTAATGGGACAAATAGAAAAAAAAATTAAAAAAATAAAGCTGGAGCATTAAATCGATGAAGATAAAATTAGTAAAGTACTAAATAGTATAAAGTAGACAAAAATGAGGATCATTTGAAAAATAATCCAAATAAGAAAATATTTGTTAATGGAGATTTTAAAACATACAAATTTCCTTTTGAGCCGTTTATGAAATTTGTAGATCAAATTGAGTTTTTGCGGCCTTCATGAAAGTCGTAGATCATTTAATAACCTTTTAACCGACACCTGAATAACTTTAATCGGACATGCGGATCGAAAATTGCATGACATTAAATAGAATAGCAATTGAAACCACCAAATTTCGGAAATTTTTTTTAATTGAAACATAAAAATTGGCTTTTGAGTCTTTCATAGATCATGAAATTACATTAATAGACACCTGAATTACCTTAATCGGACAAATAGAACCAAAAAAATTTAAAAATAAAGCCGAAATGTTAAATCGATTTGTAAATGACTAAATAGCATAATGTAGAAAAGTATGTGGGTCATTTCATAAATAATCCAAAAATATTTTGTTGGTGGAGATTGGGATCCACGAAAGGTAATTTTTTTACAAAATTCCAAAAATACCCTCAACTGTTTTCTTAAATAACAAAATTACTAAACATGAAATGACCAAAAGACTCATACTCATTTGTTCTTCAATTAATGAGAAATAGAGGGTTGGCTTGTGTCTTTAGTATTTTCACTTTCTCCTTTTATTGTTTCTTATAATCTGTAAGTCAAAAAGCAATCCACTCTCATCATATAACCTCGATGTAATCCCATTAGAAATGGAATGGAATCTGAGTTTTTCAAAAAAAGAAAAAGGTTAATTGAGTTAATTTATAGTAATTGAGTTAATGAGTAAAGTACTAAAATAATTGAGTAGTTTAGTAATTCATTGACCAATTAATTTACATATCAAATCCATTAATGATTAATTTACATATCTAATCAATTTTTTTTTTTTGAGGAAACATATCAAATCAATTATTAAGTGCTCAACAATATTCCAACCATATATTAATTAACGGTGATTCCTTTCTCACGACTAAAATTGAATGCACAATATTTCAATATTGAATCAATCCTAATTAATTTTCTTTACATAAAATATAGCAACAGGAATATTGAATCAATCCTAATTAATTTTCTTTACATAAAATATATGATATTCCAACCATATATTGGTCTGATTTCTTTCCCAAAATCAAAATAGAATTAACGACCTCCACAATTCATTTGGCACGTCAATTCCCTTTTATACCAAATTGTCTATTTTAAATATTTTCACTCCCCCAATATAAATAGGCTTGCTTTGCTTAGATATGTCAAATGGGGTTTTAAAGGTTTGTTCCAAATTTCTCTATTTTCTTCATCCTCCTCTTTTATTTCCACCTTTGTGTCCACAATTCATAATGTTATTCTCGCACTCTTTATAGCTGCTATGGACAAATTTTCGGATGAACTCACTCAAGTAAGGCGAGAAAGAGATACTTACAAGGAGATGTATCATGATGCAAAGATGATCCCGCAAGAGTACGCAAAATTGCTTCGACAGTTTTGCTGATGAGTTCGCCAATGCAAAGATGATCCCGCAAGAGTTCGCAAAATTGGTTCGACAGTTTTGCTGATGAGTTCGCCAACCTTCGAGCTATCTATGAGATTGAAATTGATTATAGTATACAGTTGAGGGGCAATTTCGAAAAACAATTATCTAATTTGTATGAGAAGTTTCATCCCGTTTATATTATTCTTAGTAGTCAATTCCAAAGTGATTGAAAAAATTGTACTTGGGGGTTTTTTTTTTCGGTCAACAAGATGTTTTATTGATTATAGTAAATGAGTGTTTACAAAGAAAAGATCTAAGAAAATTGAGGACTCAAAAACAGAGTCTCTATTCTTAGATCCAAAAAACAAAACTATACATTAAGGTGGTGCTGGAAGACCATCTTTGTCTAAAATGAAAGTTAAAGAAGATGGGGGCATGTTTACCCAATTAGTCAAGCACATCTTCTTCTTGAACTGAGTTGCAACCCAGTCTGCTGCCACATTTGCTTCTCTCCGGATCCAGCTAAATTTTACTTCATTAAATCCTGCTGCTTTCCGTCTAATGTCTCAGATAATTGGCAAGATCTTCCAAAAACACTTGCATTTATTATGAACAATACTCCTATACACTATTTGTGAATCAGTTTCAATTGCCACTTTTTGTAACTTCATCTGTTCTGCTAAATCTAGGCTTTATCTAATTGCCACAGCCTCAGCTTCTTCAATGGAACTCACTTGTAATGATAAACCTTTACCCCCAATCAAATCAGCAGTACTGTTTCTAACAATGACCCCTATTCCAGCATCAAAAGTTTTAGTGTCGATGGCACCATCACAATTCAGCTTTGACCAACCTTCCTCTGGAGCTTTCCATTTATCTTCTTTAATCCGAACCTCAGTAGTAGCCTTCTTACTTCTGGTCAAAGAGTTAGCATCCTCAAGTTCTAAAATAAATCTTTGTATTATGGGCACAATTATGTCTGGTCTTAGTTCAGCTTTCTCAAAAACATGTTGACAACGTGCCTTCCATATGAACCAGCAAGTGACAACTATGGCAGTTCCCAAATGAATTTGATATTCTTTACCTTGCCCAGAATCTCTCAAAACTGTCATCAACCATTCATCTAAAGTTCTAATCTGATCTCTATTAACTCTAATCCCTATAACTCCAAACCACACAGGCAATACCCAATCACAAAGAAGAAGTGTATGTTCAATAGTTTCAGGGAACTTACTGCAACATGGGCATACAGGATCTTGTCGAAGATGTCTCCTCCATAGGACATGGTTAATTAGAATGCTCTTACAAGCTCTCCACATAAAAATTCTGATACGATTTGGCACATTGAGGTTCCAAATAAATTTCCACAAGTCTTCTGGAATCAAATATGATGATGAAGCTCCAGAACTTCTTTGTCTGCCATGATTCTTCCTGATGCATTGATATCCAGTTTTCACAGTATAAGACCCTTCACGATTATAAGGCCAAACCATTCTGTCATCATCACCTTTTGAACTAATCTAAATCCTTGTAATGCTTTTTTGTTCTGCTTCAGTGAGAAGATCTTTTATTCTGTCTAAATTCCATTCTCTTCTTTCCCGATCCATAATATCAGAGACTTTTTGTAGGATATCATCTGGTTGTACATTTCCCTTATGGCCGAGCACATTCTTCCCAATCCACTTATCTTGCCAAATATTAACCTGCTTACCACAAACAATCTACCAAGATGCTTCTTCTTTAATAGCTTCCCTTCCTTCTAGTATACTATTCCAAGTCCAGGAGGCATGACCTCCTTTCCTCGCTTCCAAAATCATTCATCATAGGCTTCAATCGATTAGCAATGACCTTAGAGATAATCTTATAAACATAGTTACAACAGCTTATAGGTCTAAACTGTGTAACTAATTCAGGTTTGAGACCTTTAGGAACAAGAGCAACTCTAGTTCTATTAACTTCCTTCAACATAACACCACAATGGAAGAAACTCTTAACCATATTCACCACAGCTGTTTTGATAATTTCCCAATATCCCTGATAAAAAGCCCCATTGTATCCGTCAGGACCTGGAGCCTTAAGAGCTCCCATTTGAAAAGCTGCTTCCATGATTTCTTCTTCAGTAACTTCCTTAGTAATTTCCTCATTCATAGCTGCTGTTACCAACTGTGGAACATACTCAAGCTCATTGTGCCAGTCTCTATCACCCTCAGTAGTAAACAACTTCTCATAGTACTGAGTAAAAACCTCCAGAATCTCATCTTCATTTTCTATCCAGTCTTCATTTTCAACTTTTAGACTAAGGATTTTATTCCTTTGTCTCTGGATGATAGTTGACTGATGAAAGAATTTTGAATTCTGATCACCATGTCGAAGCCAATTGATCCGAGACCTTTGAGACCAATACTTTTCCTCTTGCTTCCAAGTTTCATGTAATCTAACAATGAGGATCTCAGCTTTGGCCAAACTGTGAGAATCACTATCTTTATCTTGTATTTCTGCCACCTGTTTCACAATCTCCTAAATTACTTTTCTATTGTTAGGAAAAGCAACCTTACTCCATTCAATCAGCAGCCTTTTACACTTTTTCTGCTTCCGCACCAATTGATAAGCATACGACCCCTGAAAATCAGCATTCCAACCATCCTGAATAACTTGAGCACAGTCTTCCTTATCCATCCACATGATCTCAAATTTGAATTGTTTTGGGGCCTTAGAGTCTTCTAAATTAGAATCAACCAAAATAGGACCATGATCAGATCCAATAATTGGCAGATTAAAAGCTTGTGTATTGGGAAACAAATCCATCCAACTTACATTCACCATAACCCTATCAATCCTTTCTTTGATCAAATTACCATCCCTCTTACACATCCATGTAAATCTTTGTCCATGACAATGAACATCAATTAACTGGCATTGGTTAACAAAATTCCAAAAACCAGCCATCTTCCTAGCAGCCCTCACATTACCACCCTCCTTTTCATGTATATACAAAAAATCATTAAAATCTCCTATACATATCCAAGGAGCATCAAAACTTCTAGATCTATCAATGATCATTCTCCAAACATCCTGCCTCTCTTCAAAAGTTGGTGGACCATAAATCCAAAAAATCCTAATACTCCTTTCTAAATCTCCCCCAGCAACTTCTACATCAATCAGATTTTTACACTTCCCTATCACAGTAACAACCCAATATTGATCCCACCAAAGAGCCAGACCCCCTCCAATACCTACTGGATCAACATAACAACTACCCTGATATTTCAATTTCCTCCTCAAAACTTCCAATTTCTGTTTTTTATTCTTTGTTTCCATTAAAAAGAGAAATTGAGGGTCTTTTCCTTTCCTTAGCTCATACAGAGCCTCAACTGTCAAGGGAGACCCAATCCTTTGACAGTTCCAAGAAGCCAGCCTCATAAGTCATGGGTGGCTGTTGTAGGCCAGCCACCAGGAACCTCCAGAAAAGACTCTAATTGTTCATTAACTTTATTGGCATCCCAATATTCTATCTCATGAACCTCAACTTCTTGTAAAACACCACCCCTCAAACTCCTCTCTACTCTACATCTCCTCCTTACTCCTTTATTCTTCACAGCAGATCTAGATTGATACTTCTTCCTCTGTCGACCTTTAACATCCCGCAAGCTTAACTCACTATCCACCTTAGCAGAGTCTATCTTATAATTGTTTTCCTTATTTTCTCCAATTTCCAACTTACATCTCTTTCCAATTGGCAACACAAGTTCTTCCCAATCCTGACACCCACGCTTCAAATTTAATTTCCGAAAATCAGCAACTAAAACCACATCAGTTAATTGATTTAGCAAATAGGAAGTATCAACCCTCATATTAGGACTACTTATTTCACTATACCCCTTAACCTCCTGAACAACTAGATCCCTGCAATTATTATCTTCCTGTACCACACTATCTTTATTAGTCCCAGAAAACCCATAAAACCAAGCTATTACCTTCAACATCTTTCCCACCTTCATTATCATGCTGAACTTGGGATTCTTCTACTCCAACTATATCCACTTCATCAACCTTATGAGCAGTAGCATCTGTATCCACTTTCTGTAGCTTATCAATTCCATCCTCAACCATTATAACACCATCCCCACATTTTACTGGACTAATAAAACTACATTCTTGATACACCCTCTTATTAGCACCACTAGACTCCCCCATACTTCTGCTTTCCCACTTCAAAATTCCCTCACCCTCTTTATCTAACATCAAACAATCCTTATTCAAAGTACTGTCCATACATTGTTTCCCTTTATCCCCTCCTGGCCACCTTACAACTTTTTTATCCCAAATTGGCCCAGTTCTCATATGAGGACCATATCTTAATTGCCCACCCTCATATTGTTCACAATTTCTAACTACATGCCCAATTTTACCACAAGCATAACAAAAATCAGATAATTTTTCATATTTAATTTCAGCCTTTACCTTGTCTCTATTTCCTCGAGGAACCCAAAAACCATCAATCAAAGGTTTATCAATATCAAGACTGACCCTCAACCTCAGAAAACTTCTACCATAACCCAAGAAGGGTCCTCATACAGAAGTAATCTACCAATAACAACACCAATTTTCTCAGCATTCTGACATGTAAGCATCTCTAAAGGAAGATTATGTACCTGTAACCAGAAATCCACCCGAGAAAAATCCAGATCTGACATAGCCTGACCAATCTCCCACTTCTTTATATTGAGGTAGCACCCCATAACTGACCAAGGTCCATTAGCCAAAGCATCTTCCATAAACTGTTGATTGACAAAAGAAATGGCATAAAGATTCTGACCCATCTCACGAATAGTAAGTATCTCTTTTCGTGGCCAAATACTCTGCAAAACCCCAATCACTCCTCGTCGATTTAAGGGTTTTTTCGAGATAATTTTTCCAATAACTGTGAATTTGGTGGCCTCCCGAACATCCTCCTCTTGAGATTCTAACACAATCTCAAGTTCCGTCGCCATAGAACCCAAAACCTCCTGCTATCACAATCACCACTGTTTGAACTCGATCTTACCACAACCCAACAGAGTTCACTATTCCGTCTCCCTGTTAATGGCAGTCTAGAACAGAGAACCCGAACAAGAAAAGCACGACACCAAAACCTAAGGCAAATTTGAGAAGACCCGACTCAAACAAGGAAAAACCTAGTCAAGAAAGGTCCAAGAAAAAATCCTAGATCTAGACGCAAAAATTCCCAATGAAGACAAAAGAAAACGAAAACTGAACAGAGCACAAACAGATTCAAAGAGTAAACTGAATTAAAGAGAGATAACAACAAAAAAACGAAGAGATTTATAAAAGAAAAGTGAGGATTCGAAGGAAAAATGAAGAACAATGAAGGAGAAAAGAATCAGAAACCGTCAAGTAACCATTTTTTCACAAGGAAAAAGAGACTCCAAAATGAGGGAGAATCCTCACGAAGAGAGAGAAACTCACATGTGTGGTGAGAGATAATTTACTTGGGTTCAAATTTATTATTTCTTTCATGGATCAATAAAATCTACAAAACTTATTACTTTTATATTTTTATGTTAATTAATTGAAATCATGTGATGTGGAATGAGTCCTGTTGCATGTCCTCTTCGTTCCCCTTACCTTCCAATTTCAGGTTTTGGAATACAGTGGTACTTAAATGATAGGGTTGGCAACTGAAATTAATACTTGATTTTAATCAATGTAGCAAAGCAAAAACTGAACCGCCATTTTTTAATCTTAGTTTTTAGTTAGAAATTAGTTTTCATGGCCCATCCGTATGTACATCGTAATTTGTAACTGTAAAGAAATTGGATTATTAAAGTGTGTTGGACCTTCTTTTGGTTGAAACCCACACCCAATTCCTGCGCGATTTGAATAATTATTTGTAGCCATAAATATGCCTCATCAATCAGTTATAATTGATTAATTAATTTAGAATTTGTAAATTAATATTTGATCAATTGATCAATCAATCAATTAACTCATTATTAATTGATCAATAATCAATTGATCAATAATCAATTAATTGATTATTAATTGAAACCCTTTATCACATATAAAATTAATGATTACGCTTCAAAGAAATAAGGTCCTATAGCACAAAAGTTAAATCATTATCATTTTTTATGGTACATTTTAATATGTTGTATATGCTTAACATGTTTCAACTTTTACTATGAAGGGTAAAGCTTTTACATGTAAAATAACCATATTAAAAGTGAATACAGCATTTGGATGGTACTACATGGCCTGTGGCTGCAACAAGAAGACATCTGAGATTAATGGGAAACATTTTTATACTGCGTGCAATGTTGATGTCTCAAATCTAATTCTAGGGTAAATGATATAAATATTATTGTTGTATTATATTTATAAATAAACATAAAATCTTACATTACGTCTTTAAAATTTTAATAGGTATAAACTTAGTGTGGATGGTTTTTTGTCATACTAGTAGTGCATCATTTGTTTTATTTGATGCTGAAGCAAAAGAGCTGCTTAAGTAAGATGTTTACACATTAAACGATATTTCTTTAGAGATAAGTATTTTCTTACTATTCATTACATAAAATTATTTTCATTTATAATTATTTATTCTTACAAATTTATGATTATTATAGTGTAGAATTTCTTGAAGAAAAACTAATTTTTGAAACAAAATCGACAAAATATAATGTCGACACCGGGAGTACAAAGCTCACAGTTAGTAATGTGTACAACTTTAATCCTAAACTTGAATCTCAAAAGTTGTTACGACAGGTATGTTACTAAACTTGGGTTAAGGGGGATTATTCTAACTTTATACATTCTAGTTTTTTCTTTTGTGCAGGTGACGGTTCGAGAATATCTTTTTGTAATGACGAATGGATCAAAGGAAATATTCTTAAGCTTGCTTACCCTAGGATCTTTGCTTTGGCTGTTAACAAGAATGGTGTTATTAAAGAGTTCGGGAATTGGTGTGAGGGCAAATGGATCTGGAATATACAACTATGTAGAAGACTGTTTGATTGGGAAATTGGTATATGGAATAACTTCTACTCTCTTCTTTGTACGGTTGTTCTATCTCCTTCAAACAGTGATAAGTTGGTCTGGTCGCACTCTCAAAATGGTACCTACACCCCTAAATCCTTCAGGCGTGCTATCGAGAATCATCATCACCAATACTCTCCAAGGTTCATTTGGGCTGGAATTGCCCCTCCCAAAGTCGAGATTCTTTGTTGGAAAGCTCTTATTGGCAAAATTCCAGTCATTGATCATCTTCATAGTAGGGGCTGTTTAAATCAAGTGGAGAATAAATGTGTTTTCTGTGACCAAACTGAAACTATATCTCACTTATTTTGCCACTGCAACTTTGCTTGGAATATTTGGAGCAGATGTGTTGGATGGTGGAACGTTAAATGGACTATCCCGGACTCAATTCCAGTTCTGTTTCTTTGTTGGAACTCTTTGCTAATTGATGCTGGTAGGAAAATAAGTTGGAAGACACTTTTTTATTCTATTATTTGGTCGATTTGGTTGGCGGGAAATGACAAGATTTTCAACAATAAACCTGCTTCTATCGATCAAACTTGTGATATTATTTGGGTCAGACTCGGTTGGTGGCTAAAGGCCAAATATCAACAGGCGGAACTTGCTATTGTTAACTTTCTCTCTAATATTCAAGATCTCTCCTTCAACCCCGTGTGTACTCGCAGAATCAGATTGGTGTCTTGGATGCCGGCGCCCTTCAACTCGTGGAAAATCAATGTTGACGGCTCCTCCAGTGGCAAGCCTGGACCTGCAAGCATCGGTGGTGTGATTAGAAACGCAGTAGGCGTGGTGGTTTTAATTTTCTCCAAGAACATAGGTATTGCTGACTCCAATCTTGCTGAACTTTTGGCGGTTGTTGAAGTCTTTTGGTGCATGTTTGGTGCTTTCCCATTACCTAGAATTATTTTGGAAAGTAATTCTTCAAATGTTATCTCATGGATTACTAATCCTGATAGTAGGCCATGGAAGTTTAGTAATTTCTTTAATAGGTTGGCTAACTTGTTAGAGATTATCGGTCATGTTACTTTTGTTCATATTTTTAGGGAGGCAAATTTCTTTGCAGACTCTTTAGCCAAGCTTGGTGTCTCTAAAACATCAAACTTGATTGCTTGGTTGTAACCTTCTCCTCTTTTAGAAATAAATTGTTATCCTTCAAAAAAAATGTTACTAATTATATTTAACATTAATCATATAATCTTTTAAAAAAGTAAATAATGATGTTCATGATTACTAAAATAATCTATTATGATGGCAGATAACACTTTTATCCATCTATCCAATGCCAACGATAAAGATTGAAGATGTAGATTCAATGCCCAAAACCACGACCTTCGAAATTGGATGTTTATCAGAAGAGGTTGTCAAACCAGGAAAAAAATTAATGTATGGGGGAGTGAAAGTATTTTCTTTGTACCAAAGACAAAAGAAAAAAATGTTTCTTTTATCTTGAGTTTGAATAAGATGATTAAATCATCCAAACATTTTATTTTATATTGACACGTGTCCAACCAATGATTTTTATGTCCTTTTTATATTACTAAATTTGTTTAGAGTATTATGTTATTCTATTTAATACTTTACAATTTTAACATTATCAATCAATATTTCACACCCTCCTCAATTAAAAAAAAAAGGAACAAATTTAAAATGATATGAGATTCCTCAACAGTAATTTTTTTACTTTGTTTTTCATCCCCAGGCAACGACCGGGTTATAAACAAGTAACATTCTAATATTGTAGGGAAAATTATTAAAATGGACCCCACACTATCCAAGTTTGTAAATTGATGATTTAATGCTGATGTGGTTTCCATCATTTATTCATCATGCAGAGCATTCATCACTTTCAAATCTAAAATATCCAAAACAGTCTACTTACAAATGTCCAATTGGCAATGGGAATACACTTAACATCCCCTAAATAATGCTCCAAAGTCCAAACTTAAAATTCTCTTAAATAGGTAAATCTGTCAAAAAAATTTCATTATTTAATTTTAATACTTAAAAGAAACTATACATATTAGCCCATTATTTATTTCCTCCATAAAAAAAAATAAAACTTCCAAAATCAAATCATAAAGCTTTGAGATTTTTTTTTTTATTCGAAAGCTTTGATCTTTTCATTCTATTCCTTTATTTTTTTTCCTTTTATTGGAAAAACTAAAGAGTTGCATACCACCCAATAGAATTATAAACATGTTCACACCAACAAACAAATCCCCAACAACAATAATCTGAAGAAATAAAATCAACAAATAACAGAAAATACACTTTTTTTTGGCCAAAAAAACAGAAAATACACTTTAGCTACCAGAAATTAAGAAAGTGAAAGACAAAGAGAAAGAGATCCCATCTGAGATTGATTTTCTTTAAAAAAAGAAAAAGAAAAAGAAAAAGAAAGTTCATTCTTTTGCAATGAATAAGAAGATCACATCATCAACAACAACAACAAAGCCCACAAATACAGTTTTGCCCTACCAAACTCCAAGGTTAAGGGACCACTATTCGTTGGGCAAGAAGCTTGGTCAAGGCCAATTTGGCACCACTTACCTATGTACCCACAAGGCTACTGGCGCCCTTTACGCTTGCAAATCCATTCCAAAGCGAAAACTTTTATGCCGTGAGGATTATGATGACGTATGGAAAGAGATTCAGATCATGCATCATTTGTCAGAGCACCCAAGTGTGGTGCAGATCAAGGGAACTTATGAAGATTCTGTGTTTGTTCACTTAGTTATGGAGCTTTGTGCCGGTGGGGAACTTTTTGATAGGATCGTCGCTAAAGGCCATTACAGTGAAAGTGAGGCTGCTAAACTTATCAAAACCATTGTTGGTGTTGTGGAGGCTTGTCATTCTCTTGGGGTTATGCATAGAGATCTCAAGCCTGAGAATTTCTTGTTTGATAATCCTGGTGATGATGCCATTCTCAAGGCTACGGATTTTGGCTTGTCTATCT